TGAAGACTGAACTTTAACATCTACAACCTCCAGTGTTACTATGGCCTTTTCCTCTGCTGGCATGGGGCACGAGCTGCCCCTCGTCCCTGGCAGGACTGTCCCCGTGCACGTTCTGCCCCCTCACCATGCTCACCCAAGGCTGAAACTGAAGTCTTTTCCAAGAGCTCAGAAATGTCTCTGAACAGAACCAAAACCTTCCGGGCCTGGATTCTAACATACGTTCTTCTGAAATGCAATATTCAGGGCTCCAGCAGTGCCAATACATTGTTCCCTGATTCCTTCAAGGGAACAAGTCCAATCTTTATAATAAAAACCTTGGCATAATGGAGTTCCTTAAAAATTTGGGGATGCAGTGCCTGTCTACCTTCACCTTCCACTATCTACAGAAAGGGACCCTTTGCTTCCACCAAACTGGGTTATGTACGAGCCCCTAAACACATCCAAGACTGCCCTATTTCTGGGCTCTTGCCTCTGCCATTCCTTGTTCTCCTTCCTCAGCCCAGAATGTCCTCCCAGTCCACCTTCACTGGGAAAATCCCTCCTCACCTCCAGCCCACCATTGGTTCCTCCTCACTGATCCCTTGCTAGGCCACTCTCCTCTAGACCACCTCAGCATGTTGCCTAGTGGATATGTGCTGCTTTTTTTGAGACAGGGTCTTGCTCTGTTGCCAGGCTGGAATGCAGTGGCACCAACATAGCTCACTGCAGCCTTGAACTCCTGGGCTCAAGGGATTCTCCTGCCTCAGGCTTCAGAGTAGTTGGGACCACAGGCAAACACCACTGTGCCTGGCTAATCTTTTTTTTTTGTAGAGATGGAGTCTTGCTATGTGGCCCAGGCTGGTCTTGAACTCCTGGACTCACATGTTCCTCCCACCTCAGCTTCCCAAATTGCTGGGACTATGGGCGTGAGCCACTGGGCCCAGCCTATACGTGTTTCTTATGTATATCACAGACTGTGGACTTACTCTATACTTAGTTATTGCATTGCTATTTAGCTTTCCACACGCAAGCCCTATCTCTACAACTAGACCATAAACTGCTTAAGGGAAAGATTTGGTCGTTGTCGTCTTCTTTTTTTTTTTTTTTGAGATGAAGTTTTGCTCTTGTTACCCAGGCTGGAGTGCAATGGCGCGATCTCGGCTCACCGCAACCTCCGCCTCCTGGGTTCAGGCAATTCTCCTGCCTCAGCCTCCTGAGTAGCTGGAATTACAGGCACGTGCCACCATGCCCAGCTATTTTTTTGTATTTTTAGTAGAGACGGGGTTTCACCATGTTGACCAGGATGGTCTCGATCTCTTGATCTCGTGATCCATCTGCCTCAGCCTCCCAAAGTGCTGGGATTACAGGCTTGAGCCACTGTGCCCGGCCAAGATTTGGTCTTCTATGTCTTTGGATCCTTTTAGTGCTTATATAGTCCCTGGCCCCCAGGGAGTGCTCACGGTATTATTTTTATTGGTAGATTCCACATAACACATTGCAAATGGTCACAAAAGTCAAGATTACACCCACAGGTGTCCCAGAAACAATATCTAAGTATACAGAGCAGCATTACCAAGCCACCAAGAAGTCTGCCTAGTAATGACAATGGTAACGGCAGCCAACACTCAGTAAGTGCTTGTGATGCATCTGGCATTCTTCCAAGTACTTTCCTTAAATGCGTGTGACAACCCTCTGAGTTATGACAATTACAGTCCTCATTTTACAGACGGGGGAACTGAGGCACACAGCCGTGGTGTAGGTACTCAAGCTGGTAAACAGCAGAGCTGGGATTTCAACTCATGGAGTCTGGTTCCAGAGTTAGGGCGGAAGCGTGGCATCTGCTCTCTCTCTACAGACAGCAAAGGGGACCGGGAGAGGATGAGCTGGAACAGCCAGAAACGACGGAAAGAGCTACCAGAACTTCTACCATTTCTGCTGTGCATGTGCAATGCTTCACAACTATGTGCTAAAATCATTATTTCAGCGATTAAACAGGTTCTCTAGTTCCTTATGGTTTCAGGTTGTTGATTTAAAAATGCAGTTTAAAACACATTCACCAAATGATTAGTTCAGAAGATGACTGATCATCTCTTTGCTCTTAGATATCTATTTGATACGTCAAATGTGAAACTTTTCTGATGTTTAATCACAGCCAAGTTATTTACAACTGATCATGATAGAACCACCTTTACCTGGTTAGAACATGATAAACAATTAACATAAAATGGCAAAATAGAAGCCTATTTTTAGAACTAGGAATAAAAATGTTAGTTACAACAGAGAGAAATTATATACGAGAACGAATCGTCTATGTATCAAATATAAATACATAACATTGTTCAAGTGCCTGGCTAGGCATAGGCCCAATCTGCTAATAAAAGTGTGTTTTATTTGTTTTGTGGGTTTCATTGCATAAAGTCAACAGAGCAGGGGAACAGAACCACAGATAAATGAAAGCCACTTTGGCACTGAGGACATATGCGGACAATATCTGGAAGGGAATCTAGAAAAATGACAACTTTGGAATGCACCTTTTGTTTCCTCATTGCTTTTATTTTTGTCATGTTTTATTAAGCATAAAAAGAAAATTGCTTGTGCCTATATGAACAGTGGTACTCAGAGTCAGCTTAGATTTTCCTCAACAGCATGCTGTTAATTAATCTTCCACAGTGTTGCGGTATTTCACGTGAAGTAGTACCCCCACCCTTGGCCTTGCCCCAGACTCAATTCCTAGATCATCATTCCCATCAATCACTTCTATCAAGTCCTAGATAATCACTCGCCTTATTGACAGACTCAGAGGAAATGATCGGTTGTGTGGGCGGAATGGAGGGTCAAGTGGCACATTGGTGTCCAGGATGCTGCCTCGAACCCTGTGCATTTAAGAAGACACTCAGGTGATATGCAAGGCGCACAAAGCACTGGCGCTCCCAGCAGCCAAGCGATGCGGTCTACAAACCCTCCATCGAGAAAGGCCATGGCATGCCCACCAGGGACACAGCTTTGGGAGGTGGAACACAGACGGGGTGAGGGTAAAAGGCAATGGCTACCCGGCCACATCAGCCAAACCCACTCCAAAAACAAGGAAATGACAGTGGCCACAGGCAGATAACTCTTATCTTATAATCTGGGACGGCAAAGACCAGGCAGATTACTTCATTTTCTTTGTATTTCATTATTTTTATTTACTTTTTTAGGGAGAGGGTCTTGCTCTGTTGCCCAGGCTGGAGTTCAGGGCTGTGATCACAGCTCACTGTAACCTTGAGCTCCTGGACTCAAGTGATAAACCTGCATCGGTTTTCCCTGAGTAGCTGGGGCTATAGGTACACACCACTATGCCCGGCCTCTTATTTTGCTTAATTTATGTAATTAGTCAACAAATGTTGAGGGAGGGCAGATTTTGGAAGGAAAGGGCATAGATGGCTCTGCAGTGTGCAGAAATCTAAAGCTTTGCTAAGATGGGATCAACACGAAGCGTCCATACGTGTACAAATTAGCAAATGTTACCATGACTAACAGGAAATGAAGAATAAACACAATTAGGAGGTTAATCTCCCTGAAGTTTCTCAGCAGTCATGAGTGTCTGTAGGTGATTTTGTATTTTACAACTTTGTATTTTCTAATTTCAGGAAAGGAAAGCTAACCAAATTTGTGGATTTTATTTTTTTGCCTAGTGTCAAAAAGCCTGAGGGCTGACTGAGGCCTGGTTGCAGCAATCAGCTGTCTCAAGGCCTCCCGCATGTTTAAATAGCTTCTCTCCTGTTTATTTTGCACTGTTTTATCCTGTAAGCTGTCTCAAGGCCCTTCCAATACAAGCATGAGGATTTAAATCTTGATAAATTGAAATTTGAATAATAGAGGTAATCTGGGCTTGGGGGATCTTGAATTATTAGGATAAACATCTCTATTTCCCATTTGCACATTACACACGTGCTGTACGTACTGCCCACGATCAAGGTCAGAAATAATAAAAATAGTCAGAAATAATACTGATAATATTTAGAATTAAATAGCACTTTTCCATTCTTAAGGACTTTTTTATATACAGCTTCTCCTTCTATTCTTGGAAGAGTACTCCACGGTAGGAAGATCAGGTGTTAAACCCACTTTTAAAATGAAGCCAGTGAGTCACAAAGAGATTAAGACACCGTCACAACAATATGGAGGAGTGGAGGCAGCAGGACTAGAACTCAGTCTCCTGATAGCTTTCCCGCAGTTTGCCGGATGTGTTAACATGCGTGTGCCAACAATGAGACTCAGTGACATTCCAATTAAACTTACGGGAGACACCTTTTTATAAGCTTATGACAAGGACATTGTACAAGTCTGGAGTTAGCTCTTTTTAAAAAAAGATTACCAAAGAGACTGCTCGTCAGTTCAACTCTGGGGCTGAAAGTGACAAGCAATGCTCAGATACCTTCTGTGGTCTCCTGTTATTTTGAAGGAAGGAGTAAAAATATATGTAACTTCCAGCTGGGCACGGTGGCTCAAGCCTGTAATCCTAGCACTTTGGGAGGCCGAGGCGGGTGGATCATGAGGTTAAGAGATCGAGACCATCCTGGTCAACATGGTGAAATCCCATCTCTACTAAAAATACAAAAAAAAAAATTAGCTTGGCACGGTGGCGTGTGCCTCTAATCCCAGCTACTCGGGAGGCTGAGGCAGGAGAATTGCCTGAACCCAGGAGGCGGAGGTTGCGGTGAGCCGAGTTACCCATTGCACTCCAGCCTGGGTAACAAGAGCGAAACTCCATCTCAAAAAAAAACATATATATATATATGTGTGTGTATATATATGTGTGTGTGTGTGTGTATGTGTGTGTGTGTGTATATATATATATATATATATATATATATATAACTTCCTTAATTATAATTTAACACCAAACTATTTCTTCTATACTGTCATTTCTTATCACTCAAAATTCTAAGGAGTTGAATTTTAAGACATAAGTAGAGACATAAAAATCAAGAAGATACATTCTAACGTTAATAGAAACAACAACAATTAAAAAGGCTTACCTTGCAGCCTTCACATGTAATGACGCCGTAATGGATTCCCGATGATTTGTCTCCACAGATCTTGCATGGAATAATTTCAATTTGAGCTGCAACAGAAGCACGAAGCCAGTTAATTACATTTTCTTTTAAACACCTTATAAAAGCGTTCCCTGATCAGCATTTGTATAGTAAAAACTAATAACCTGCTAAACATTATACTGCATTAACTATTCATTGCTGAACGGTGAGGGTCCCCCTAGAGCCCTGGACTAAATTATGGCTGCTCGTTATATAATAGCTTTCGGGTTATTAAAATGGGTCATTTGAGAAGGTGTTTAAGAACCCACAGGAAGACTGGAATCAGCATTTCAAAGCCTTCAAGAACTGGAGAGTTCGCAGTTTAGGACTCCGAGGAAAGCAGATACTGAAATGTTTCCTCCCATCTCATTTTCCGTCATTATTTTTAAAAGGTCATCAATCTGTCTTGGCTGAGCGTTATAGCTTGACTGCTAGAGAAAAATACACTCCAAAAAGTCAGGTCTAGTTAGGAAAATGATTCAATTTAAAATATTAATAAGTTAACATGTGATGGCAAGAATTCCTTATTTTTTAAAAAATTAATGCAGTTGCCATGTATTAAGAATTAGTCCATTTGTGTACAATCAAAACCTTTTAACCATAGAGTTAATATCCTGTTTGAATTTAATAATGATGAATCCTGACAAATAGGATATGTTGTTTGCGAGTTCGTTACGCTGGACACTGAGTAATTTCTGGTACAGAGGGCATGTGTTTCTATCCAACTGATGACTTAAGGATGCCTCATGCTGGAAGACTAGCAAATAACATGTATCACACCAAATTTCTCAAATAAGACAGAGCACATTACTAAGCAAACACAAATATCTCCAAGTTAAAAAGAGCATAATTAAGGATTAAAAAATTAAAAAATAAGGACTAATTAGGTAAAAGAAAATGCTTAGATCAAGTATTAAATAGAATTTATGTATCAAATAAAGACCAACGCTGAGCTATATAGACAGGATGGGAACAGTCACCAGTTTACCTGGAATGTGTCATTACACTAAATTCATTTCCCATGGTTTTCACTACTAGGTATCATGTTAGAGTCTCTGAGTTACACACACACACACACACACACACACACACACACTCTTGCACGTGCCCTAGTCCATTTCATTTTCATGCAGCCTTTACCTAGCCCTAGGCTTTACACAGAGTAATTTCTTTGTCCAAAGAATATGTCCCACACTGTAAGCACCACACACAGACCACAACCCACTTTTTCTTGTCATGTCATCCCATATCCTGGGCTAATTCCACAACCACTTACTTTGGATTTGAGGTGATGCTGGATTCAATACTTAGAAAGAGCACATAATGAAACCATTGGATTTAACCTCATTATAAACCGTGTGTACTGCGAACTCTCTTTCTCAGGGCCCCATGAAAGCACTGTGGTACTTTTAGGGAGTGCAAGCTGTTCTAAAACCAAGCCATCACTTTTTCAGTGCTTGCATAGGGAGTTTCTTTGCTTGTCCCGATTTAGAGATCGTTCCGAATCTCACATCCAGTGTATTTTCTAGACTCTCGAGGCTTTCTAACGCTCTAGTAATGGTGACTTTGGACACTGACAGGTACAGTTTGAGTTAAGCAACTGAGTATGTCTAAGGTTGCATTCAACAAAAATTGTCATTTGCAAGTCTTCCTCCTCATGTGAACACTTGGCTTTTTTTTCAAGAAAAATTCTTTATGAAACATAACATCTAATAATGTCTCATACTTCAGAGCCCTTCCAATACGTTTCATATAGTCAAGGCAAAGGTTTGTGCCACAGCTCTGCAAGTCTAGAGAAAGCGAATTATGCCTAAGACTTTACAGAGATGCTCAAAAGCCAAGTGGAAGTAGAGGGATCCTGAAAGGTGATATCAGCTGACTGCGAGTTATTGCCTTTTTCTCTACACAAACTGAGTGGTCTAGAATAAGCACCAGCCTCCCCTACCCTGGTCCCTAGGAACAGAATCATTAGACAACATAAAGTCCTTGAACCATCTGGTAAACAGAATCTATACATGAAAGGAAGAAGACTCACTTGGAGCTGCTTCTGCTCTTCTCACCTCAGGGTGGAATGACAGGAATTAGGGATGAACAAACCTCTTTTAGGTCCCACCATTTAAGTCAGCATCAAAACTATCTGACGCTAAACTTGGGCCTTTCAAGAGTTATCTTGATTCTATCGTAAAAATAGGGGAGATCAAGCATGTCTCTTTAGTCTTCTGTAAGAATAGAAAGGTCCTGGGCAGGGCATATTGGGAACACTGAGTCAAACTGCATCTGGACAAAATGAAAATGGTGTGCAGTATTCCCGTCCAGTTGGCCTGGACTCACAGTGGATTACTAACGAGAAGTGAAGTAATAATGCTTTTTTTGAGACGGGAGTTTCGCTCTTGTTACCCAGACTGGAGTGCAATGGCGTGACCTCGGCTCACCGCCTCCTGGGTTCAGGCAATTCTCCTGCCTCAGCCTCCCGAGTAGCTGGGATTATGGGCATGCACCACCATGCCCAGCTAATTTTTGTATTTTTAGTAGAGACGGGGTTTCACCATGTTGACCAGGATGGTCTCGATCTCTTGACCTTGTGATCCACCCTCCTTGGCCTCCTAAAGTGCTGGGATTACAGGCTTGAGCCACCGCGCCCGGCCAGTAATGATGTTTAATAAGGCTGTGACCACAATGCCTGTGTGACATGGAGGTCTGCTCACAATGGGGGTGGCCTTGGAAGTACCATGCTGGCCCCAGCACTTCCACCCTGGGAATGGCTCATGACCTGGCGGGGGTGAGGGTAGGGGTGCAGGTGGGGAGCAGTTGTAGTGCAGACCCAGGAGTTTGGTGCCACTGTGATACAAGACTGATGGCCTCAGCCAGGCTTCAACTCCTAGGGGTTTTCAGATCTGGAGGATACTTGAGCTGAGATAGTCACGAGATCGGTGGAGGCCAAGAAGCTTAGGACAAATGGACTCACCGTAGATTGACTTGTATTTCCAAACAGGGGGCCATTCACTGAGATCTTTGTCCCCATGGTGTCTGTGCTTAGTTCCAGTGGCCTAAAGCATCAAAATTAATTGAAACAAGCTTCACTGGGAATCTCATCGTTTCTGGACAGCAAATTGGTATTCTGATTGGTTAAATTATTCTCCGAGGCTCCCTCCTGCATGGTTCTCTCATCTCAGATGACAATTTCAGTTGCAAGCGCTCTTTGGGAAATGACTGCAACTCCCCTACTCCAAAAGCAAACCCTCTGAATGTGATCTGATCACACGTGTTGATATTCTCAGAATGCAAGTATTTGCAGATTGGAGCAGCGCACTTCCTCAGCCCTCCATTTAATCCAACAATGCACAAAGCTGCCTCCATCCCCTCTTTTAGTCAATTTCCAGAATTAAATGAATCCATGAGGAAAAATGCAGTCCGTGCCCTGCAAATTCTCCAAAAGGATGCAGTTTAGTTTCTTGAATTTGAATTTTCTGTCCAACAAGAAGGAGGAGGACAATAATCCCTGTCTTTTGCCTTTCATCGTGTAGGCTTTTCAGTTTCCCACCAGGTAGTGTTGTGTCTTCTCAAAACAATCTTCTTTTAACACAAATTATGAATCTTGGCCCATATATATACTGCACACATTAACTCAGCCAGCATTTCAAAGGATGAGTTCTGTTAGACAGCACTACTGTCAACGTTCACAAGTATATTGATTAAATTAGCCCACATGCATATTCATCCCAGGAAAGAAGTTTATTGTGTAGTGGAGTATCTGGAGCAAGATGCACGCGTATAATCATGAATTGGCTTCACAATGAACAATCTTGCTATGAAAAATTCTAATTGCCCACATTTTCAGCTCTATTGCCTCAATAATTTGCTCTCTCATGTACCCTATATAATTCAAACAGGCTCTCCACACCTGCAGAGGCAAATTTCTGCAGTTTCAAGGAGCTGACAACAAGTGGCAGCGGGCGCTAATTAACCAAGTGGTCCTTGGGGCTAGGCTGTCATTTAGCACTGTACTTCTATAAAAAGTTCGCTTTGAATTTTTAATTATAAAAGGAACAAGAACTTGAGCACTAGCCTTCTTAAGATGACATTTATTCCTCAGGACATATCTTTAGAGCGATCATGGTCCAGAGAACAACGCCCATTCCTCCAAAGAATTAGAAAAATGAAAATTGTAGGAGAGCCACCCAGTACTTCATGCTGTGGGTCAGTAGTGATTTCTCAATAGTAATAAAATAAATTTATAATAATACCTACATGTGTTTGTGCTAAGAACGTGTCCTGCGTCACATCTCGCTCCCTCCTCCAACACCCTGTGTGCACACATCACTATTTATTGTTACTGTTGTCACCGTCACCGTCGTCAATGCACTCTCGTTAAGCAATCACTAACCAGGGTTCAAAAGACCTCGCCTTCATAGTTCCTTTAAACTTACACACGACTCAGGAACTGATGTCAACATCTTTTTCTGCGAGTTATCTGGATAGTTTATGACTGAAAATCATCATTAACCTTCCAGGCCACTGATCTCAGTTTCACAAACTTCTGATTAGAATTTTAACCCTAAAATGACCAATGCCGGCATTTGATAATTCTCAAGGCCAGGCAAATCACTTGACCTCTCTGAGCCTCAGTTTCATACTTGAAGGTGCAAGGATGTGACACATGAATGACACAGCATATATATGATATCTATGTGAGCATTTTAGATATGGATTCTCTGTATGTGCACATCGCATAGTTCTTAGAAATAGTTGGCACTCAATAACTAGCAGTTATTATTATTGTTGTTGTTGATAAGAAATCCTGCCTTATAGTGAAATGAAATTCCTTCCTCCAGACTTTAAGCTCTTTCTCAGGCGGGGATAGAGAAAAGCTGCTTATCCTCCAAATAATACGACAGGCGGTTCCTACCAGCTACCACAGCAATCCTTCACAACATTGCTGCTCAACTGTCTGCTACAACACAGTGGCATGTTGCAGGAAGTTGTAGGGGCGTCACAGGGAATTGGTTTCGAATAAAACTTTAACAGAATT